CATGCTTGGTTAGGCTTTAAGCTGAAACTTGTTGCACGACATAAATGCAATAATTACAATGTATTATTATTATTTTTATTACTATTATTTTGATTTATGCCTTAGTTTTAGTTTGTACCGTTTACCTTTTTTAAAGTAACGTGAAATTGATTTTTGTATTTTTATTTATTTTATTTTTTATTGCTATATTTGTATTTGCATTTTGAATGTAATTTGGCAATTAAACACATTAAATGGGTTTAGTTTTCACGGTTATTAATGTATGCAATTTCAGCAATAAAAATGTTAATTTTTCTAAAACGAAAACAAATTAGTTGTTTATTTTAAGAGATCCATCTTATTATCTCTTGTATATTTACTATTGCTCTTTAATAAAGAAAAATTACTTATCCGATTACTCGATTAATCGATGTTATAATCTGTAGAATACTCGATTACTAAAATAACCAATAGCTACAGCCCTAAGGACTGAGGCTCTCTAGGACTGAACTTGCCTACCCCTGCACTAGACCAGGGGTGGCGAACTCCAGTCCTGGAGAGCCACAGCCCTGCAGAGTTCAGCTCCAACCCTAATTAAAACTCACCTGCCTGTAGCTTCCTAGTAACTGTTCAGACCTTGATTAGCTTGTTCAGGTGTGTTTGATTAGGGTTGAAGCAAAGCTCTCCAGGACCGACGTTCGCCACCCCTGCACTAGACTAAAGCAATGTAGGTTTACGTCAGGGGTGCCAAAACTCGGTCCTGGAGGGCCGGTGTCCTGCAGAGTTTAGCTCCAACCCCAATTAAACACACCTGAACCAGCTAAATCAAGCTCTTATAGGCATACTAGAAACTTCCCAGCAGGTGTGTTGAGGCAAGTTGGAGCTAAACTCTGCAGGACACCGGCCCTCCAGGACCGAGTTTGGGCACCCCGGTTTACGTTATTATCCACACATCTTCCCACTTACATTTTTTAAGAAAAACCATGTTAAAATGTCATCACTGTATTACATTACATTATATGTTTTGCCCATGTTTTAACCATGTAAAACAGCAGCAAATGCACCAAAATGCCTATTTTTGCTTCAAAATAAACAAATATATATATTTAAAAAAAACTAAGGTGTTTCTTTATATGATATAATACATAAAAACATACGCAAACTTTTTGGGGGGATTTTGAAATAAAACTGTCTATTTGATTATTCTTCTAACAATTATTTCATATGTCAGGCTTTGCAGGGTTGATTTATAAACTAGGAATGGTGGCTTGTACACGGACACAAAATCTAACTGAACATATCAAGATACTACAGCTGCGTATTTAAAAAGAATATTTCAAGTTGCATAATTCATTTTCATACTTGTTCAAACATCCAGAAACAAATGTGCTTTCACGAGAATTCTAAGCGCACCAGCTATAACCCAAGAGTCAAGCAGAGACAAATGTGACCGAGAACACGAATATAAATTTCAAAACAGCACAAACATCATGTGTCAGATAAATATGAAGTGCGGTAAAGAGATTTGTTTCAGGTATCGTTAAATAACTTGTGATGTCTGTTATTGTTCATGCAAGGTTTGACGTATATTAGCAATGTTAGAAATGCCATGTGCCTGTTGACTTACGGGCTGTGGGAATGTGTTGTTTGTTTTGTTTTTGTTTGTGTGTGTGTGTGTGTGTTGTTTTATGATTAATATCTAAAGCTCACCAATACGTTTCATTATATATTTTGGTTTGCGCCGGATTAAACCTGAGAGAACCAGTTTGCACGGACTAGTGCGAACCAAGGCAGCTAGGAGCCAAAAAAAAAGAAAGGTAGCGTCATGTGCTTACATTAAAGTTTCTGTTTCAAATACAAATATGTGGCGCCGTAACGAGCTGCTATCAATTGATTCAAAATGTAACATGTTTCAAAAACCTTTCGATTAATTTAATCTACCATACAGATATACAAATGCCATAAGCAAAGTTTCTACTTTCACATGGCTCACTACAAATGCTAACTTGCTAGCAACCGGGCTTGAAACGCACTTTATCCAACAAACAGATTGAATCAGACTTACCGTTTATTCTGCACAGATTGGTTAATCAAACGTCCAGCAAAGAATGCCTCACTCGAAAGGCTAGGTATAACAAACGTGAATCCGGAGTTGTCCGTATCAACTTGCTAACTCTCGGTCTCTGCTCAGTGTTGATGGAGGGAAACAACGCAGCCAGCTAGCCGATAGCAATCAGCGTCATATTTAGAGCTCAGACGTCATCGCGCATCACGTGTTTGTTTCCTTCAGTTCGCGTGTTCATGTAATACACGCACGCGGCGGATGGTTTTTATATAAATGTTCGTTTAGGAAAAGATGATGTTGTTGCTGGTATGCGTACTCCTGTATCATTACTAATGTTCATAAAGCCAAATGTCCAACTTGGAAACCTATAAACATGCCCCTTGGACATTTGTAAAGATTAATATGAAATCCGTGTACAGAAATATAGGCCTATGTCAAATATAACACGTCCATAGCAATTAAAAATTTGTGTATAGAATGTTAATGCACAGTTAAGGGCTAAAGGTTGTTTAAATAAGCAATCTAGTCGTTCTTGAACGATTCGTTCGTTTTGAACGAATCTTTAATGTGACTCGGGAAGAACGAGTCGTCTCGGGGAGTGATTCGTTCAGTCGCGCATGCGCAACATCCTATAGGTTCTGTACTGGAATTAGTCAAGTAGTTCACCTGGTTCGAGTCTTCGGGTTTTTCCGAGTCGTTTGTTCATCACGTGACAGCCCCATAAACCCAAACCCGAAGACTTGTCAGATAAGAGGTGAGGTGAGGTAATCATAGACTTAAGACTCAGGTAAACAATGGAATCAGCTTTTCTGCTTGTTATAGCAGTTTTGTATTGTTTGTAGTGTGATCAACGTTTGCGTAAGTAGTAGACATATTAGGGAAGTAACACGTAACATTTTAATAATATTTTGTTAAAATGAACGAAATGACTCGAAAAAAAGGATTCGTTCATTTTGCTGAACGAGACTCAAAGGTCCGAGTCGGTAAAATGATCCGAACTTTCCATCACTAATCAACACCAGTGTTGCCAACTAATTTTCAGTGGAAGTTTCTAAAGGCAGAATGATTTGTTGCTAAAAGTTGCTAAATGACATTGTGATGTCATTGCGTGATGACGTCATTGCATAACCATTACACAAAACAGCATTTTTTTAAGTGGAATACACAACGATATTACTCAAATCTCAGCGAAAAATATTTTTTAAATGTTATTTGTTCATAAAAAATATTATAAACATAAAATAATTTAATTTGTTAGATTACCATAAGTAGCACATCTTTATGATCTGATTTTTTACAACATTGAATTATTGAACAGTTACACGTTTTATGTATTTTCTTATTATCTAGTAAAACTGCACATTCTGAACAATTATAGTTTTAAGCAGTGTACTTGTTAATTAGTGTGCTACACAAAAGTCTATAAAAATAGGACACAATGTGCTGTTTATATGAAGGGACAATACGTATTAATTTTTTACAGGTGTTTTACCTGTGTTTTAAATTCCACATTGCATTTTGTGTTTTAAGGTTACATGTTACAACTTAATGGATAACATCCTGGCAGAAAATGACTAGTACTTTTTCAGTTTTTCCACATATTTTTTCTTACAGTGTACCTAATTGAACAACAATTACAAGCTAATAACATGCTGTATCATAAATGTGCATTTATTATTGACCAATTGGAACTTGCAACTTAATGCACATTTGTTTGTACTGTAAGGCATCTTTCTCTAGATCTCTCCAGGTTGATGTGCTGCTTGGCTGGCTAGCTGTTCAATGGTTTCCTCTTTTTGTGTAATTTAGATGAAAATATGTCTTTTTTATCATTTGCGTCACGTTGCTAAAAGTTGGCAAAAACTTTTTTAAAATAGCTCAATTTGTTGCTAGGTGCTTTTTGAAAAAAGAAGTTGCTAGGGAAGTCTGAAAAGTTGCTAAATCTAGCAACAAAATTGCTAAGTTGGCAACACTGATCAACACACGATTTGATGTACAGTATTGCGTAGGTGCGAGTTAACTAGGTGCACCGCGGGGCTGCTAGCTTCACGAACCACTACGAGAGCCAGCAAGAGTTATATGGTCAAAACTTCTAAATTAAAAAATCACGAAAATTTAACCGATGATCTTGGAAGAAAAGCATGTTTATCAACTGGAGGTCGGAAAAGGGGAAAAATAATAAGAATGGGAAAGTCAAATGAAAAGAAGAAAGCGGTAAGCACAGCTGTGTTGTGAATGGACCAGAGTGGGGAGATTCTGATATAGTGGATAGTGAGGATAGTATGGAAACAAGTCAAGGAAGCGGAAGAATGAGGGAGAAAAGAGAAAATACTTTTGAAGGGATTAGAGCAAAGAAAACCAGGCATAGTCGAAGTTTTGAAAGAGGAGTAGAAGAGAGTGACCATGAAAGTTTGAAATATAAATGATACTGAGATTCGGCGAGGAGAAGGGAATATCATCAACGAGTCCAGTGAAATTGACAACTATTTTGCGAAACCAGATTGGCGACATACATATGGCAAAGGTTTTAAAATAAATACAAGTCATGTGGAAAGGGAAAATAAGTGGAGTAAAGGAGTGATTTGGGGAGTTCCGGTAGGAGTCTCAATGGAGGAAATGAAATCAAACCTAAAAGGGGGAATTCTGAAAGGTGCTCGGCGGATACAAATAACTCGAGAGGGAGTGAGGAAAGACAGTGAGTATGTTGTACTTGATTTTGAAGAGGAATTGCTACCCAAAAAAGTGATGTTAGGATTTTTGAGCTATAACGTTAGAGAATATATTCCAGAGCCAATGAGGTGCTAAAACTGCCAAAGATTTGGACATACAGCCAAGGTATGTAAAGGCAGAAGGAGATGTGCCAGGTGTGGAGAAGATCATGATTATGGGCAATGTAATCATGAACAGCCAAAATGTTGCAACTGTGGGGGGAATCACAGTGTGGCTTATGGGGGGTGTGAAGTG